TTGATGATGATGATGATGATAATGATGATTAGTCGAACGTGGCCAAATGTTTCCATTCCGATGAAAAGCAGTTTTGTGGCGCAAACAGCTTTCTGCTCACACAATACGAAACTACTCATTTCGTGCTTCATTAGGTTCTAACTGTGATCTTGTCCATTTTCCCACAATCCCGGTAAAACCAGTAAGTGGACCAGTATAAGAAAAGCGTAAGAATAGTAATAATTTCTTCATTTCATTGAATTCAATACCGCAGAAGCTTACAATCCAGGACTATGACGGATAATGAGAGCGTTTAACACCGAGGATAGCAATTATGACTATTGACTGCCATAGTGAAAGCAGTTGTAGATTTTCTCCCACATAAATCACCGCTGAAATCAACATTTGCCGATTCTTCTACTGGACGACCCTGTTTGTCGGTGGAGGATTGGTTGAAAACTTCCGCGATGCACAAACTCAGTACACACACACACACACACGCAAACTCCACCAGTGTCCGATCAAGTATGGACGAAAAAACAAAATACCAGTACTGTCGGTTCAGTACTGCGTCCTTCATTGCTCCGAGCTTTTTTACTCAATCATTGCTCGGTCCGTTCGTGAAGCGAAAAAAGATAGACATCACCATGAGCCTTGGCGGCTGCTCCCTATGCTCTATGTTCTATCCGAGATTCGCCGACCACGTTAGGAACAATCTTCGACAGTTTGCTTGAAATCGAATATGCATCCTTTCTTCGAACATCACGATGAAACTGCACCTCGACGTGATATGACGGTTTGCTCCCCGGCATTACCCTACGAGCTATGCAGGATGGCTCCTCAGCTGCAGATCAAATCATGCCTAAAATATCAATGAGTAAGAGGCCAGAAGAAGCTCAGTCTCACAAGGTGAGCTGCTTGTGCACCCCCTGACTTCCTTTGTCTATCCACTCCTGTCCCTGGAAGGGGAGCATCAGCTTGCCGGTAAAGGAATCCGGCTAGATGGACCAGGGAGCGGGGTTCTTGGGGCATCCTCCGGACTGTGAGAAAAGTCTTCGCACTTTACTGGACAGCTACCGCCCGCCCGCCCAGACTGAGCAGTCCTCATCCAATAAGGCGCTATACCATCCGCTTCCCGCGTAACTTATTGAGTGCATGAGACTATTTGCCAATCCCGAGCAAGCGGATCGTCAATTCAAGCACCAGCGAACAACACACCTAATCGAAACACGTAGGCTTTGCGTGACATCTGTAGAAGTTCCCACACGCGTACTTCGGTGATGCTCCACATTAGACCTACGCCCCCTTTTCTCGTGGGTCAGACTTGTGAGTCGAAGGCTAAATACTGACAACTTGCCCCGGCCAACGCAGGTGAATTTTCTTGGGGAATTCACAACCGGAGCATTTGACTAGTCAGTCTGACCCGCAAGGCAGCGGGGCGGTGTGAAAACCGCAATCCACTGGGGACTGGTGTCTGATTCATTGAATCATACACCCTACGGATGGGGTGAAACGTCCAAGGTACTCAATACACCTCGGTGCCCAATCGAGGTGACCGGTGACCGCCACCACGACCAGGAAGGTGTGTGTGTGCGTGCGTGTGTATGTGTGTAGTTCGTACGCCTCTTATCGGTTGATTTGAAATCAGAAGTTTTAGCCAACTCCTTAGATGAATGGTAAATGATTCGTCGACTGAGATATTGGCTTTTCGTTCACTCACCTTGGTATGGGAAACTACCTGTGTCACGCGAAGCTAGTGAGTCTGTTTGAGATACTTGGTCGCCTATAGGAGAAATTCTTCAGGTTGTAGGGCAGAGTGAAGAGCCACAACCCAACACACCCAGCCCCGAATCTACTGAGGTTTTCGGAGATATATGGAACGGTCAGTCTCCTGAGCCCACCTGATCATTTTAACTCGTGTGTACAATTTTCAGTCTACTGTACACGAATGCCCTAGCTGTATCATACATTGATGCAACCCAAATCAACAATTGGACTTGGAACTAGCGTTATTAGTACCGCATACCTCTTGAAGGAAACCGTGGGTGCGAATCTCTGCACTGCCCAACCCCCCGTCGACTATGAACCGATCTATTGAACATCTGCCTTGTGTGTCAATTCGCCCACATGATATTTTGTTCATGGTTTCGACCGATTGTTGAATCCCATTCAGAAAACGTATCGAATGTCGAATGATCACTTGTGCTCTATCCGTTGCTACGTGGGTAGGGTCAACAAGAACACAATAGTCCGACAACTGTGTTTGAACCGAGCCCACTTGACACACTGACCAGGCAAGACAGCAGACTCGGGTTAAAAGATTAGAAAGAACAATACACGTTCTGTCTCACCTGTTTGTGTCTGTTCGCATTCACTTGATCAGGCGGTGTCATAAGGGCCTTGTTAGTCAACCATGACCGGTGTGTGTGTGTGTGTGTGTGCACACACTGATACTATCCAGGTTATGCGGATCTGTAATCCACCTAGCTTGTCAATAAGTCGGTTCTCAACGCGACCACCTAATCACCGTGCTCGGATGGTCCGGTCGCTGGGTTTGTACTTCAGACTTAGGTAAAGGTGATGCGCGTCATCGCCACCGCGTATTGATGCACAGGGAATAGCACCGCAATTGTGCGAACAATGAACAAATTGGAACAGTTTGATGTTCATTGCACTTCGCTCGTGATTTTCATTGTTTTTTTTTCTAAATCAGATCATCATCTGGATCGGTTTCCACTGAACCCCGTTTCCGATCGTTGTTTGCCCGGGATGCTTGACAACAATTCAGTTCACCGACTAGCCGATCCGAATCGATTCGGCGTTTTGGACACATCCACCACACCGTTGAAGCGTCTGCGACACACGTGAGGGTCGGTTCTCGTTCATTTTGTTTCGCGTTGTGGGCTCAGTTTCATCACCATCATCATCATCATCGAACAAGCTTGTCCGCTTCGGTCGATCTCCATGACTACCCCCCGGTCGAATCCGTTCAAAACCCGCGTGCTCCCCCACCTCGATCCGTCCGTCACTCCTGTCCCCCTCCCACCCTACTCCGCCCCGGTTCGTTCCTAACGGCCAGATATTCGCGATCATTCATACCACAAATTCTATTCTGTTTACCAATTGTTCCGTCGTTTGTGCTTGTGTTGTGTCGTCACATTGGTGCGTGCGTGCTTGCAGTCGATAGGACTCATTCATCCAAAATGGCTTCCGCCACCACAGATGTTTAGGACAGTTCACCTAATGCGTACACCCCATTCATTCTTCAACTCATATTCATTCACACATCCTCTCTGGTTTCCCGCATCTCAGTTCCATTCATTCATCCTCTGATCGATCTTTTCGTCACTACTGTTCATTCATTGTACTTGGTGCGCTCGACTCATCTCAGATGTACTTCTCCTATTCA